AATGAAAAAAAAAAAAAAAGTAAAATAAGCCGATTTTTTTTTTTAATTTTTAGTTGTCGTTTTAGTTTTTAGGCTCAGTTGAGATGGGTTTCAAGTTTTTTATGAACGCAGATGATGAAAATCCAGAAATTACTATTTTTAATTGCTTCACTTCTGTTGAATTTTCTCGGGAGGCAATCGGAATAGACCTCCATGAATTTGATTTGTGATCAGCTTCTGAATTTCAGCTCTGTTTTGTTTGGTTGCTCAGAAAATGGAGAAGAGTAGAATATGTCAATATAGATTGTGAATCATATGTTAATTGGTTGTTGTGCTGTGATCAATGGGGTAAAAAAAAAAAAACTAAAATACCCAGAAATTTTTAGTAGTCTTTTTAGTTTTTTGGCTCAGCTGAGATGACTTTAAGTTTCATATGATCCCAGATTATGAAAATAGATATTACGAATTTTAATTTCTTCACTTCTGTTGAATTTTCTCAGGAAGAAAACAGAATATTAACAAGAAAATTATCCCTTTTTCCTTCTTCCTGGAAAAACTCTTCTTCTTCTTCTTTTTTTTCCTTTTTTTTTAAAAAAAAAAAAAAAAAATTGGTTTTGATTTGCAGTTGTTATTTTCTGTTTTTTTATGCTGTCTGCTGTCTTCAGAGGGCAGAGTGTGTTTTTTTTTTTTTTTTTTAAATTCAATTGGTTATTTGAATTGAAGGCATTTAGCTGTGGAGAAGAATCGAACGTTGCTCATTAAACTGTACCCAGAAATATCGAATATAACCAGAGACAGTCCTCCAATTGCATCATTTATCATTCGAGTGGTCTGCTCCGCGGGAGATCGCAAGTCTTTGATTCACCCAGGTAATAAATTACAATTAGATGTTTCTTAATTTCTTGTTCTTTAGATTCTTTAAGGACTTTGTACTAATTTCTTAGTGCTTACAACACCCAATTGTGCATGTTTTGTTTGTAATTGATGCTCTTAAAGTCTTAATTGTGTTAAATCTAGGTATAGAATTTTGCAGATTAGCATTAAAACACCTGTTGATAGAACAAATTAAGGATGAGAAATTCATCAAGTCTATCATTGATAATTTTTCTTTCGTCAATGTTGTTTACCTGGTGTCATCTTGTGTCGATGCAGAAATTACAGACAAGAAGCTCAAGAATAACGACGATTTTGTTTGGGCAATTGAGGTTCCATTAACAGGGAAATTCATAATTGACGTTGAATTCCTTGATTTGAAGATTGTACCTTTAGACGTATGATTCTTTTACCTACTTTTACACCTGTCTTTTATTTTAATAGAATGATGCATATAAACGAAAACATTTGAAACTGTCCTCAAGTTTGGCAAAGAATAGCTATGAGATCAATTGAATTTTAGAATCACCGTCGACAACTGTGATTATCATGCCTAATCCCCTTGTCAAAATCTATAAATCAGAATAAAGGTTTATACAGTACAAATAACAAAGTTGTATGGAAATAGTGAAATTTCACTAATGAAACAGGAATGGCAGTAATACTTTTGACAGTATTGTAATTTGCATCTATCCTCTACCTGACAAATATGCTTCATAAAACATGCAGGGTGGAGAACCTTGCTCCATCTGGGCTGAAGGATCCACGCAAAAGCAATCAAATGTGACTGCCCTCGTGTCCCTTGGTAAAATGTTATCCGAAGGCATTCACACCGACATTGTAATCAACGCTTCTGATGGAAGCATTGGAGCTCACCGTGCAGTTCTCGCTGCACGGTCACCTGTTTTTCGCAGCATGTTCTCACATGACCTCAAAGAGAAGGAACTGTCCACCATAAACATCTCTGACATGTCAAGTGAGGCTTGCCAGGCTTTTCTCAATTACATATATGGGAACATACAAAACCAAGAATTTCTGACACACCGACTGGCACTTCTCCGAGCTGCTGACAAGTATGACATCTTGGACTTGAAAGAGATGTGCCAGGAGAGTCTTCTTGAAGATATTGATGCTAGGAATGTGCTAGAGAGGCTTCAAAATGCTTCTCTATATCAATTGCCAAAACTAAAGGCGAGTTGCTTGCGTTATCTTGTGAAGTTTGGTAAGATATTCGACATTCGCGATGATTTCAATTCCTTTATGCAATGCGCGGATAGGGAACTTATCGCTGAAATCTTCCACGAAGTCCTCGCTGCCTGGAAAGGTTTCTGAAACAATGGTTTGTTCTTCTTGTTAGTATATTCTTTTTCACGTCTCCATGAAAAATGGGTGGTTTGAAGAATTGTGTTGTGCATGGGTTGTTTTCCATGGAAGAACATTCTTTTATGTAAATTGCAATGTGTTTTGTGTTCATGTACAAATATTGGTTTTAACGGAAAATATATCTTACTGATTGATATATATATATATATATATATTGATGTAAATGGTTTTAAGAAGGAATTGTAAATTGTATTATATGTAAATGGTTTTAATTAGTTGTACAATTGTACCTTTTGTAAGTTACTTAGTTTTTGCTTCAGTGACTATATTCATCTGAGAAATGCATGCATGCTTGGTGCAATGCTCAACTTCTCCAACTTGAAGCTTTTCATGTCGACTATTGTTGATAAATTTGTAATTTTGTGACTAAATTTCATGGCGGCCAACAGCAATTTTAGATGAGACAAGCTCCTAATGAAATATCAAGTGAGATAAGAATATCCCAACACAAAGTGTTGTTGTTTCAAGAGGATATATCTCTAGGGGTACATTAGGAGCCAACACCATTCAGTTTTGATTTTATGAAGGATTTGATGAATTTTTAATTTGATGAATATTTGATAAACATTAAAATTTGATGAACACTTCAACTGTATCTCATTTGATTTGATGAACATTTGATAAATAAATTAAAGAAAAATTTTGAATATTTTTTATCAAATTAAAAATTGATAAAAAAAAATAATAAAATTAGAATTGGAGATGTTCTTACAAAACCAAACTTTGGAGGAAGCTTTCTTCCTTTTAAAATAGTAGAGATTATGGCCCATGTAGGCAAACAAACTAAAGCCCAAGCCCACAATTTATTTCCCTGGTTTATAGCTCTTTGGGCCTTTTCATTGGGGCCCATCTGTTACTCTCTTTTTTTTGAACGGGCCCATCTGTTACTAAAAAATGGATCCTTCTTGTCTTTTAAAACACCAGAGATTATAGCCCATATAGGCAAACAAACTAAAGCCCAAGCCCATAATCAATATTCCTGGTTTATAGGGGTTTGGGAATTTTGATATGCGGGCCCATTAAAACTTAAAAGGGGAGGTTCTATTTACCCCTAAAAATTTATTAAAAGTTGTTCTAATTTTTCAATATACTTTATTTAATTATTTAAGATTTTATGTTATTCCCGGTATATTTTTTAATTTTTTTCAAATTATCCTTCAAAGTATGTCTAAATAAAAATAAAATTATCATATTTAAACTTATAATACCAAACAATTTTATTTGTTTCGGATACAGTACATTGTTGATTCTGATTTCAAGATAGCCAACAACATTGACACACGTATGTTTGTTCAAGTTCATTCCAAAGTTCTGTTAATGTCAGTCATTCATGTGGAGGTGCCGTCGTACTTATAGTTGATGGCTTAACCATTGCTTATTTTCTTGTGCGTGTTTTTTGATAGGAAAAATAATTATTTGAATCTGAAAGTTTGAACAGTAATGATATTAAATAAGTTGAATATTTATTTTTATGTATAAAAGAATACAAAAATAAATAATTATATTTTGATATTTATGTCAATACTTACCTCCTCTTTGAGGGATTATTTCAAAAAATAATTTTTATTATTATTCTTATCTATTATTTGAATTTATTCAATTTTTTTTTGTTCACAAGGATAAAAAATAATGATATTGATAATAATAATGAGTTTTGGTAGAGTGGTTTGGAGATTTAGAATAAGAAAGAAGAAAAAGAGAAAACAATTAAAACTTGAGAATAAATATAAAAAATACATATATGTGATTAGGGTGTATTAGAAAAAAATAATATTTTTTTATTTTAAGATTTAATAGAGGTTGTCTTTACTAATAAATTTATATTATGATATAATAGTAATTAAAATTTTAATTCAACATACTAAATAAAATTTTTGGTGTAAATAGAATTCCCTAACTTTCTCTGCCTTTTAAAATAAGGAAGAGCTATAGGTCGGTCCTTTGGACCGGACTTAATACCCATGAGATCCTGTTCCAATATAATTTAGTCCACCTTTCCATTTTATCCCTGATAGCCCACGCGTTTGACTTCTCTACTTTGTGCACATGTCACTACCATGACCCACCATCGCCCTTTCAGCTATTCTCTTATCTCCGACAATATTTTTTTTTATCCATTTTTCATCTCAAGTACGTCACTACTACCACAACCTCCTCCTCAGATCTAGTGTCAACAAACGAAAATGAGAAGAAACATGGTGAAGAGAATGAAAGAGAAAGATGAGAAGCCATTACCAGAAAATAGTTCTCATTATTTTTCACATTAACAAATCAATACAAAGAATCAAAAGTCAGATTCAATGATAAATTTATCACTATTTGTTTGTAAAAAAATTACAGAAGGAAAATCAAGCAATCACCATTACAAACCAACACAAGAATCAAATATACATTCAGTGATAAATTTATCACTGGTTGTTTGCACACAAAAAAAAATGCAGAAGAAAAATTTAATCATCACCATAACAAACGATAAATTTATGGAGGAAGATTATGACAATGACGATGTCAGATTCAATGATAAATTTATTACTGACTTTTTGTTAAAAAAATTACAAAAGGAAAATTACCATTACAAATGATAAATTTATCACTATTTAGTTTATCAAGTATTATACAAAAGCAAACATATTCAACAAATTTACTAGTAAATTTATCACTGGTTTAAACAAGATAGAAGCTCCGATCAGCATTGAAAATACCTAGATGAACCCATCACCGTTCTGATCTAACACCCTGAACGCCTTTCTTATGTCTTCTTTTTCGGCTCGCTCGTCCATTATTAACTGGTATAGAGCTTCGAACTCGTCAATGTCGACACATCCATCTCCATTCATGTCGATTTTCTTGATCTCTCTCAGATCTAACACCATCTCTCTCAAATCCAAGAGCCACAGAGGTAGCTTTCATGTTCACCAACACTAACGAACAACCGTTCATTTGTCGAGTCTTATTCACAAACTTCTTCACCGCCGTCAACGTTGTGACCTCTTCATCTCCGCTCAACATTACAGTGGCACAATCAATAGCTCTTGCAACACAACAGTGCATGAAATACTTTTCAAAATCCATATCCTTCGGGGAGAGAGAGAGTAAGAGAGAGAGAGAGAAATAAATAAAACCACATAATTCATAATAGTATGGGTAAAATCGAGATAAAAAAATACAATAGGACTTTCTAGTATATGATATAGAAATTTAGAATCTAATAGATAATAGATTAAATTATTAGGACCGACGGATAAAAAATCCGTATATAGTAGAGATTATGGCGCACTTAGGCAAACATTCTAAAACCCAAGCCCACAATCAAATTCCCTGGTTCATAGCGGTTTGGGCCTTTACATATGCGGGCCCATCTATAGCTTAACCCTATTTAGGGTTTTGATCAGGGAAGAAGAAGAAGACGAGAGCAGATTGACCTAAACGCAGCAACAGTTTTGTTTTCGCTCTCTCTGTGTGTTTCCCTTCAGCAAATCTTCAAAGATGATCTCTTTCTCTCTCTCTCTCTCTCTCTCTCTCTCTCTCTCTATATATATATATATATGTATATCTGTATTTGTATGTATGCACGAAGATAGGAAGCCAATGAATGGTCACCATCTCAGTATCGAACTTGATTTGTTGATGAGCATTAAATATTTATCAAGTGTTCCATAGTTTATAATCAGTTGAATTCTTTAGTTATTCTTGAAAATTGTTATCATATTTTCTCTTCTTTTTTTTCGTTAGTTTTTTATTGAAATATTTGTACCAAAAAGTTGTGAACTTTGAGGTGTATGCATATTTTATGAAGAAGGGGAAAAAAAAAAATTATTAAAGGATTATATTTGCTAAACCAATTACTAAAAGGGGAATTTTTTTGAATATTTTGGGTAGTTCTCCAGCTGCCATGTGAGTTGAAACTGCTAGTTTGAGTGTTGAAAATGCCTGAATGGAGTGGTCTCTTGGATCAAAGCAAGATGACCAAGGGCCTTCTTGTTTCATGTTTTTTGTTTTCAAGAATTTTGAACACATAGCAACAGCTTGGCACTTGTTTTTGTTTTTAAACTTTTTGAAGTTTGCCTTAACAACAAGAAAAGGTCTTTCTTTTTTCCTTTTTTTTGTAGAAGCCATGGAAAACTTGTAACACAACCAAATAATACCCGAGTTGAAATAAATCCGTGTACGTGTGAACATTTGAGTTTATTTTTATGTTAGTGGACCTCCTACCATTAACGTAGGGGTCGCAAATCAGTGTCGTGTCTCTTCTCCGATCCATGTTTGTGTAGAGCAGTAAATTTACCAGGGTTGGTAACTAGTACATTGTATGTGGGCTACAGCACCTTTGAACATTGTTTGATCTATTCCAACTGATATACTAATTCTCATTTTGTCATTTCATAAGCTCTTTATACGATGTTATTGAATGTAGTATGGCCCTTGATTTAACTAATCTAATATTGATTTGGATTTTAATATTTCAAGTGGATTTTGCTTCGTCTATTCAAGAGATTAAACGATGCAAGCCAATGAAAGCACCACTGC